TTTTGATTAAAATTTACCTGAATCAGATGCACCAGATGAGCCTGATGCATCTGGTTCTGATTCATCAGATTTTTCCGATTAAGATTCATTGGAGTCTGATACAACCAATTTATTAGATTCCGGTTAATCAGTGTTGAATTCAACAGATTGGCCATGCTCATGTGATTCTGATTTAGATCCACCAGAATTGGATTCAAATTCATTTGAATCAGATTTAGCATATTCACCTGATCAATCTGATTCTGATTCACCGAATCCATCACATTTTGATTTATCAGCTCTATCTTATGATTCATATTTAAAAGTAACTTTCCTAATCCACAACATTCTGATCCATTGGACTCGAACTTAAGAGATTTTAATACAGCTCTTCCTTCTCATCCATCTAAATTACATGTTAATCCATCCACATGATTTAGGATTACTTCATCTACCAGATTCTGATTTCTCAACTTTACATTCCAAAAATGACCACAATGACAACGATAAACATCCACAGTATTTGCAGGTGAAAAGTGAAAATTATGCAGAACCAAATGCAAGGGTAAATGATAGCATTGAGCTTGAGGAAGACGATGTTGATCAAGGTATTGAAATCAATTCACCTCTGCCTATTCAAGAAATTGCAGAACAGGATGATTTTGATGGAGGTGTTGGGATAAACCCACTTTTTCCTATCGAAGAAAGTGAAGAAGAGCATGATTTCGAACAAGTTTTTGCCATAAACTCACTTCTCCCAACCCAGAAAAGCGAAGAACAGCATGATTTTAAACAAGATGGTGCCATAAACCCACACCTCCCAACCAAGAAAAGTGAGGAAGAGCATGATTTTGAACAAGTTGTTGCCATAAACCCCCTTCTCCCAATCCAGGAAAGTGAGGAACAGCATGATTTCGAACAAATTTTCATATTCTTTACAGGAATGGTGCTAACATTTACTACAATTTCACTACAGATATTAAGAATCCCCTTTTCCATGGCAAAAAGAAACATCTTAAATATCAACTTCCTCAGAAACAGCACGGTCGTTTCTCCCAACACCACAATCATTAAGACCAACTTGCAAAGAGAAAGAACTTTGCTTAGGACTAGCAATGATTCGAGCTGATTTTTGTAAAGGTTGAGAATGTTCAAGGTCATTATTAAAAACATTATTGAACAGATAACTACACCCATCATTATTAGGCATTGCATCACTGCATCTTAAAGCTTTATTAGCAGCAGTCCAGTTTTTCTGTATTGCGCCTGATTACGTTTCATTATGATATGAACTAAAATAAATAATAAAATGTAACTGTCACTCTATTTATTTTTGATTGATTTAAACATATCCTAATGTTACAACCCATTCCCCCTAAGTGCTGGTGATCACAACATTTAGCAAAAATGATCAGTCTTATTCACAGGTCATGGTAACTTATATGTCTCCTCAATCATTTGTAACTTCTTCTCTTCTTTACATGCATGTATCATACCTAATTTATCTATAACCCTAAAAATTTAAGTATAACGTTATAGTTTACTTGCTAACAACAACAAATGGAAAATGCTCTAAGCAACAAAGAAAAAATAATTTAGCTGACATTGCAAGCTTACTAAAGAAATGGGCTAAGTTAATAAACCAATCTAAGAGGTAAAAAAGTTGGTTTGTAAGTGGTATATTAGTAAATAGGCTTTCAAAATCGTAGGAGATAAGGAATTTGTGACCAGAAGTTGATGAGTTTGAAAGATGAGAATCGTCGAGGAAAGTGAAAGAACCTTTAGTGGAGTGGTCATCTGGTATGAGTGGTGTTAGAAAAGAACTACGATACTTAGTTAAACTATAATTGTACGAGTTAATTGATGAAACTATCGGTCGTAGTGAAGGCGATTTTTCTGGTTCTCGTTTGTTGGGGAGTTTCGGTAAGCCATAGAAGCGTGAGGGTTGAGAATCTCTAAGGAAGATTTCATTGTAAACTTTGTTGTTGATCGAGTCTTTCTTTAGAAGTCTCCTTAACGGTCGTTGCAGTTTGGCTTCACGTGATAGTGTGACGTCTTCTTTGAGTGAGGTTGAACACATCTCAATTTTGTGGCTGACATTTTTTGATGTTTACATTTTTTTAATGTGTGATTAATCATAACGTCTTCGCACATTTCAATCATTATTGAAATTTATGTCAGAGACGAGATAATGTTTCAAGCTTTCTAACAATTTGTCATTTATAGTATTAAAGACATGTTTAACAACTTAAAATCATGTCACGTGTAGGTGCTAATAAACAGGCTGCAATATTGATTCATTAGGGAATGAGAATCTGAAAATTTCTATAGTCATTTGTTTCCCTTGTCAATTCCGTGGAGAATATAGTAAAATTCATTTTATTTCATGGAAATTATGAAAAAACCCATGAAAGTGGGATGACCTCCTTTAAGTTCATAGCTATAAATGATACTGTAGCATCTGTGTTGTGTCAGCTGTAGTCTGTGTATTCATTGAAAAATCTTATAAAACTTATAAAATCTTCAGAGCGTTGACAACAGTTCTGAAGATTTATAGTTAAGTTACAAGCGTTATAGTTAAGCACAATTTTTTGGTTTTATGAATGTCCTACAATACAGACCATACTCAATATATATACTTCAAATAGACGTATATTATTGTTAATCTTCTTGCCTAATTACGGTTCTCTGCAGTTCACAAAAAATTACTTTTTAGCGCATGCGCATTTAGATAGTTATTCAAAAAATAGAACTGCTGGGGATAAAACGAAGGTAGACTTATCTCAGTAACGTGTTAATTTGATTTTAAAAATTGTTAATTTGATTCAAAATAATTAAATAAATGTCTTAGTTAATGTAAGTTAGAGTTAATGTAAATTTCTGTCTCAATATACGGCAAAGAACTTATAATTCGCTTCGCTTTTGTCATCCAATGCCAGATGGCTTAAGTGAAACATGAAAGTATTCCAAGTGCCAGCGTTGGCGATCTGCCATTGCAGTCAACAGGTCTTGTCCAGAGAAGCCAGTTTCTTCCTCAATGATGTTTTTGACGGTGACAAACGTGTGCCCAATTCTTCTTTTTGTGAGGGTGTCGATAGCAGAAGCCTACCAGCGGGCTCTTCATGACGACTAATATGGCCCGCAAGAGTCAAACGCCGCTGACGAACCTTTTCAGACACACGAGGAAACGTACCGTACAGAGATTTGTTGGTAGGATGGCTTTTCCAAGATATGTCATAGGCGTGTCTGAGCATTCTTGTGTATATGCCTTCGAGACGCTTTTTATGTTTCACATTTAGCGTCCATGAATCTGAGCTGTAGAGAAGGATGGTTTCAATGCAAACCTTGAACACTTTAGTCTTTGTTGACTTCTTGATTGGAGACTTCCGAACTGCCTGAAGAGAATGCACCGTACTCCATGCCAACGCTATTCTGACAGACATATCATGCTCAGTATCTGAATAACCACCAAGGTACTTGAAGTCTTCAACACAGTCGATTTTAGAGCCATTTGATGCAAAAAGGGGAGTGACAGATGATGGATTCAGATGCATGTATCGTGTCTTTGGAGCGTTGTGGCGCAGACCAACCTCTTGACAGGCATTCTCTACACGCAATCTTCGAGAAGTGCAATGCCATCAGCGTAGTCCAAGTCAGCAAGTTTTTCAGCTGGGTATCTGCTACTTCGGCGAGGCATGAGTGTGAGGCCGTCACTGCTGGTGATGGAAGTGCGGAGTGCGTAATCAACAACAATGATAAATAGAAAAGACGCCAAGTGATCACCTTGAAGAACACCAGTGTCAATCTTGAATGCGTTTGTTTCTCCTTCCGGGGTGAGTTCTTTAGCACAGGTGTCTTTGTACATTACTTGAATTGCATCAACAACGCATGATAGGATTCCATATGCTAAGAGGATTTCAAACATTCGATCACGGTTGATGGAGTCGAAAACCTTTCGAAAGTCTATAAAGGTTATAACTGCTTCCTTGTCGTGATTTTTCAGCTCCTCAACTGTACGCCTTAGAGCCAGTAAATGAGACGTGGTTGATCTTCTTTTGCAAAAACCATTCTAATTAGTTCATAACACCCAGTCGATGACTGGCCGGATTCTTTTGAGTAGGCAGCAGTTGTAGATTTTCGCTGCTATTTGGGTGAGCGAGATGCCTCTATAGTTGTCTGTCTTCTTGAGATTCCCTTTCTTCGGTATGGGAGTTAGACCAGAAACACCCCATTCTTTTGGGCGATTGCCATGAAAGGTTTCGTTACAGAACTTCAGCAGGGTACTCTTCACCTCAGGTAGTTTCCAAAACTCTGGTGGAAGACCGTCCAGCCCTGGCGCTTTCCCATTCTTCAGAATCCGTGTGGCAGAGTCAACTTCATCTTGTGTTAGATCACCACAGTCTATTTCAGCGAAGGTGTCGAATGTCTTATGAATTGGAGAGAGATCAGGCTGTGCACCAACATCAGCCTTTAGCAAGTTCTTGAAATGATTTTCCCATGTCTTAAGACGGTCATCACCTTCAATAAATATAGTGCTTCGTGACTTTTTCCCTGACAGGGTCTTCACTAAATCCCATGCATTTTTAATGACAGAGGCTGCCGCTGGCGTTTCAAATGAGCGTAAGATGTTGTTAATCCGCTTGTCTTCATAGCTGTCATACGTTTTGCGGAGATTTTTCTGAGTAGACTGCATGTTTTGGGTTGAAGCCCGGAGGGTAGCTTGCGTGCTGTCACGACAGGCTCGATATCAACAGTTTTTGTTTCGTGGCTCTTGGTAGACTTTTTGGAAGAAGCTCAGCGCCCGCATCTGTTGCCACTGAAACAAATGTCGAGTAGTCTTGCTCAGGCGGAGAGAGGCTGTTGAAGCGCTCTGAAATTGTGCTGCCAACTTTAGTAGCAAGTTCTTTGTCAAGTAATAGCGCTTTCCAGTGAAGTTTTTTCTTCACTGGAAGAGCAGGGCGGCGTAAACTAAGTTTGACAGTTGCAGTTACCATACGGTGATCACTAACAACATGATTAGATTACAACATGATTAGATTACAAGAAGGCACGACACTCACTAATGCTGTTTCTCCACCGTTTGCGGTACAGTACAAGTCAATTTGTGAAAGTGACCCTGATGGCGATCTGTTGCTCCAGAGCTGGCTTTGCTTTTTCTGAAACAAAGTGTTACCGATAAGAAGGTTATGTTGTTGGATGAAATGAAAGAGTAGGAAACCATTAAGATTTGATGATGAATGGTATGAGACACCTGTGTCGACTTGAGCGTTCATGTCTCCTCCGACAAATAACATGGAGTGAGATAGCACATCTTCAATAACTTGACTCAGTTTTTGGTAAAAGTCAGAAACGATGGGTTCATCAAGAACGTTGTGAGGTGAGTAGCAAGCAACAACGATAGTTTTAGGATTGCCTTTCAATATAGAAGAGATGGTGCGATTGTCATGTTTATCGACTGATTCAAGAAATGGCACTAGCTTTGCATTTATTGCTATACCAACACCATGTATTGAGGCTCCAATAGAGCTGCGGCTGGCTGTCGATGTAAACAGAACAGATAATCCTATGTTACGAATAACTATGTCAGGATCGTTGTCAGCATGCACGAAACGATCCTCTTGTACGCATGTGATGTCGATGGCGTAGTTGTTAAGCAGTTTGTTGAACTCAGCTTGTGGTGATTATAATAAATCTTTAAAAAATCATAAAAAATAAAAGGAGCGTTGATACTATACATCCCACGGAAAATTTACACTACGATTGACATGGGGACTGTCTAACTCATACAAACTTTTGGCACACACCACAATACTGTAAAGTTTTCACGGAAGTTTTACACTAAAAAGTAAAAGTTATTAAAATGATAACTCTAGCAGCAGGAGAGTAAATTCATCAGGGAGCCAGTGAAGAAAAAGTAATAGACAAAAGCTTCTTTTCCATCTTCTTGAAAAAAGAAAGGTAGGTAAGTCTGAACATAGATTGAAGAAAGCCATTAATACCCCAAGACGAACATATATTTCCGTATTTATGTGCAGGATTTTGCCTTTTCATTTATATATACTACACAGCAATGATTGTATGGACAAAATTCGACATTAATTATTGACTTCATTTCTGATTACCAAATAACAACAGTAGAAATAATTTTAATAATGAAGCTTTCAAGGTCAGCTTTAATTTTTTTAGTTGGGTAATGACACTTTAAACCTGAATTTGGTTAACATTCATATTTCACTCACGTTTGAATTATCATCATCTTCCTCAGATCCACCACAAATTATTTCACACGCTCCACAAGCTTCTCAGGCTGCTCGTTACATGTCGGATCTAATGTCGACTGACTTCATCTCATATTTCTGTACACTTGACTTAACAACTTCAAAAAGCAAAGTTCTTGCCCAATAGAAACAAGATTGTATTTGACATCGCCATAGTGAATGATCTTTTAGCATCTTTAAGCTTTAAGTTCCACATTTACGATGAATGATTCAACTTGCTTTACGTTTGAATCCTTATCTTGTGTTGTTAGCGCTTCATTTCAGAGTCAATCGTGTCTAGAAATGTTTAAAATTTGCACCTCCAAAAAATTCAAAACTGGCCACTGTCTCAGACATCCATAACAAGCAAAGACACAGCTCAAATGAAACACAAGTGTATGGAAGCAAAGCTATCATGAAAACAGCATGCAAAAATATGAATTTTAAATAGAGTAGAAAACCAAGCACCTTTGGGATTCATCACTCATTTGACTCAAACACTAATGTACACTTCTCTATTGTTTATGGTTTCACGTGTTATGTTTATATTATAATTACCTTCGATATACAATCAATTTTTTGCACAACTATAATCAAATGATTCTTTCGGGAAAACGTTTTCCATCGTATAATATGTTAATCAACGACTTTTATAGAACCTCGGCTGTAATCGATATACCACCCTGGGCGTTTCGCGCTGTATAACAGCCTTGGTTCCTTACTTACGTCCAGTAGCATACACGCCCATGACACGAGAAATATTAACTGAGCTTTAAACATACGGGGGAAAAGGGGAAAGAGGTTGTCGATATTTGGCAAAACTCTCATGGCAAATTTAAGAAACATCCAATTTGTTACATTTCATATAAACTCAATTTTCTGTCTGTATATCAAATGCTAACTACTAACGGCTAACCCATAATGAAATGAAGCAAAATTTGAAAGAAGACGCTTCTCCTTGACACCCAAACATTTCACGATGAGAAAACCAGATAGAAACTAGTGTATGGGGCTATAATAGAAAACCCGTTTAAGGGTTTGTATTCACTTCATTTATTGGAAGTAATGTCAACTGTTTTTGGGTAAAATGACCATGACGAACAACATGGCATATGTGCCATTTCCTCAAATCGGTACGAAAGTCCTGAAATCATGACTAACAACAAAATTTAATTAATTCTAGACACAATAAAAAAATCACATGGTGTTCAGTATGCTTATCAAAAAATATAAATGTTACTTCTTTTTCAAGATTGAAGTGGTTTTGTGATATCTTTTAATTTCAATCTAAGGCCCGTTTTAAACGTCGAACTTTACATCCACCGAACGCATTAAAGATAAAAGAAAATGAGATGAGTTTCCTTATTGTCTTTTGTTTTAAATGCGTTCGGTTCATGTAAAGTTCAAGGTTTGAACAAGGCCTAAGTAACATCAAACACTTTAAGTTCTACGTACATTCTTTTGTTGTTTTCTCACAACTTTTATCCCTAATTATAGCTCCTGTCAACATGTCCGATTCCTATTAATCATAATTACATATTAATTTATTAAGCCATTAGTATAAAGTATCTGTTTGTTACAAATTTAATGTAAGAAAATTGATATGATTCTACGTGTAAAAGATGTAATTGTAGCTGATGATCTCACCTTGTGAACCATTCTTTACGTACATATATACAATATACGGGGGTGTTCCCAAAAAGGAACAAATACGGAATGTATCAAAAAACAGTATTATAAAATTCAGTTTATTCTGAAAATTTATTTCCTGTTCACCATGTCCTACTGATGCATTTTTCTGAACTAAATTCTGGGAGACTAATGATATGCATGAAAGTCGTTTGATTTAGATTTGGAATGCTGCAAAGCATTTAAATCGGCAAATCAACTTTCGAATTATGTCTATTTATACAATTAGTTGTATTGTAATATAGGTTATGTGTATAGTAATTGCGATTGGTTCGTTAGTAGTCACATGACTTGAAATAAATGCACGATTTCCTGCCAGTAAAACAAGTGAAAAGGTGTTGCCCGCTCATTTTAAGCGACAAAAATCAACTATTAATAAAAAAGAATTAAAAAAACACTCGGAAGTCAACCTAAATTGCTGTGGTCAATCATAGCATTTTGTAACGAAATGCTGCCAACCCCCCAAAAAGACATTGATTTTATTGAAGAGTTGTGGAAAATTATGAGTTTTTCCCTATCTAAAAAAACACTTAATGTACTCTCCCCAGGAAATAGTGAGCCTAAATTCCCGAGAGTCCCAATATAGGTTTGGTGTAGTGGAAAATGTGAAAATTATTTAAGACACTATATATAGATGAACACACATATATTGTGACAATTTTGTAGAAAACATATTTATACAACGATTATTTCCTACATTAACATACTAATATAATAAAACTATGTTAATATGTGTTAAAAAAACAAAGTTCAACAAAACACTGAGCAAAAAGAAAGTTTCTCTTGAAATAAGTTTTTACAAGTGTTAAATGAATGAATCCCAACCACTCTTTAAAATGGCAAATGCAATTGTTCTTTTTTGATAAAATGACGGTTACCAACAAATAATGTTGCTGAATGTGAGTGAAAGTTATTATGCAACTATCGAATGCTTATTTTAAAAATTGGTATTTTTGAATTCAAGATACGACATCTCCTTTTCTAAAGCACCAGTAATCTTCACATGGCAGTTGGAAAAGTACTATTACTTTAAAAAATGGTGTTGAGTTATGGGGGATTCATTTATTTAGCATCTAAAATTTAAAAAGCAAAAGAAAAATCTAGAAACCTAAAGAAAAAGTGCAGTAATGAAACGTCTGCATACAGTCAAGCTACTCGTAAACGAACATCCTTGAAACCACGACCTAATGTCTGCTTACGGTACATGTCCATTTATGAGATGTTATGAAAGATATCTATTCGCTATACGTAGATATGTACACAACAATATGAAATAAATTTAATGATCTAAAATTGTTCTTTACACAAAAATAAAACGCAGTGGATATAGAAAAATGACATCTTGAAAAAGAAAGACGTTGAAATTTTTCCATACTTTTCATTCTCATTATTTGATGTAGTTCTTAGATGTTGAAGTTACTTTTTTTGTGAATGATTTGTTGACCATTTATATGAACTAAACTGATCATTTTCACTCTACAATCAGCGTTGATGTTTGCTTTGAATTTTTATGACATGTGGCTGTTAAGATCTTAAATCATATCACAAATGTTATAGTATCATTCAAGTACATATATATTTCAGAGCATGCGCAAAGGCAATCGAGTGTCATAATATTCACAATGACAGTGTGTTTGTATCAAGAACCAGCTTCAATTACAGATGCAGCAAAAAATCCTTTAGCCATCTCCAAAAGCCACAATGTAGTAAATTCAATTTCTTTTTATTCACTCACATGATTACTTATGCGTTATGTTCACATCAAAACGTCCACATGAGATGATAATTTTCACGTTTCAGTTTTATAAAAAGTGAACAAAGAGAACAGCCAGCTTCACCATTTTAAAAATGTAAAAGTTCATATCTTCCAATTTTGACAACAGATGACATTTCCATTAACACGTGACCTGGGTGACGTTACAATGTACAACAATAAATCCATAGGGAAACATGGTACATAAATTTGTCATTTCTTTCATTACGATACTTCCTGAAATAAAGCTCTCTTTCTTGTAGTATCGTTTCAATTAAGAGTAGACGTTGGAATTTTATAGACAAGCCATAAACATATGAAACTTTGTCAAAGTAACTTGCAGTATGTCTACTGATGTTTAAGTTGATGCTGTCAAAAAATAATTTCCATAAAGTATCGATTCACAAAGTAAAAATGTTGAAACTTTAACAATGCTTAATATAGATTTTGCATTAAAAGTTAAAAACTTGTCATTAAACATCCTTCCATATGCAACATTGTGGTTTGTTTTCTGTCTCTCTATATTGAAAAACTTTCTTTGACTTTAGTTAACTTTTCTTGTTCGTACAGTAACACATGGTTTGGAGTGTTCAGTCACAATGGTTAAATTGTTTATCACGATGATGAACGTCAATCATGAAAACATTTTCTTGTGGAGTTTACGATTTACTTTTTAACAGTCAGTGACAAAGACAGCCAAATTTTAAGTTTTTCTTGAAAAAATTAGCAAAGGTACCATTGTTTTATTATAAATTTACATTTTACAATTGATAAAGATGAAAACATTCATATAACCGAAGTAACAATTGGGCTGTCTTTGTCTCTCTTAACAACTTAACACATAGATACTTTGTACATCAAAATGCAATAATTAAAAACTATTAAGAAATTATTTCAGTGCAAGATAGTATTGATTTAATTAGTAACAACTTTTTTTGGTGTAAAAGAGTATCGAAAAACGTGCAATATTAAAACCATCCTACACTGAATACATTTGCATGAAAATTATATGTTTACATAGTGTAGATATAAACAAAATATAACCTATGGTACAATAACTAACAAAAATTTGCATTTTATATGTTTGTGTGATAAGATAAAAGTCAATGAAATTAATTTCTTGTGCAAAGAAAATTATTATCTTAGACACGAAATTATTTATGTTTATAGTTTGTCTTTATTGTCATTGAATTTTCATCTTTAGTTGATTAACTTCAGCTTTTATACATGATCTCTCTCAATGTTGACATTATCGTACACTGCGGTCTCTGCACAGAACAATCAAAATTAGACAAAGGTCGTTTCATGAAATCATACGCAAACAGACATTAATTGAAATGTCAACAATGATAGGGATCATGTATAAAAACTGAACAAGATTATCTTAAAGATAATCTTGTTATTATCCAAAATGGTGAGAAATTTTACCATCGAAAATCAAATTTATCTTCGTGGCAAGATGATTTTTACGCATTGTACCGGGACCTTTAAGGAAGAAAAAATTAAAGCAAGCTTGCGTTTACGACAGTAATATAAAGTTTTTCGATCTATACTCAAAAGCCGAGGAATAAATGTACACTTTTAAAATGTTTCAAATCAATCAAATCTAAGTAATCTAAGTTACGACAAATTATATACCTATCATCAACAAAGAAAAATTTGACTCGAAAAAATGACCAGTGCAACTATAAATAATTTGTATGTTTTTAACGTCAAACACTTTCACATACCCATTAAAGTAATTTACTAATAAATTATCTGCTGAAGGTGAAAAAGCAGCGTATTTTATACAGCGAGTAATATCAAAATGAAACCTTAAAATGACTTCGTCAGGGATTAAATTAGCGATTTCCTTCTTAATTACGTCATTCCAACCATTAATAAGTTTGTCTTCATGCCACATACAGTAAATCATCTGATCCTTAAATTCAACTTTAGCGAACACGTGATACTTAGAGCTACATGCAAATACGTGCACATTTCGATAACTTTCAAAACTCACTGATATTTCTTTTCGCTTGGTTTCAACATTGAAAAACACAAAAGAATCAGTTTTTTGACAAGCAAATGATACATCACTCACCTCAAAATTTTTTTTGTACCTTTTAGTTCATCGAAACTATATACAAGTTTTGTCAAATCATTATTCCAAAGCTCAGGAATATTTTTTGCCGTAAGCAAAATAACTCCATTTTCTACAGCAACCATGTCACTAAAAAAACATTCCTTAACAAAAAATTCAAATGTGTTGAGATTGTATGGAATTATCCTTGAATTTTCTTCATTGCTCCGATACAGAAATTTCCCATTTGAGCAAAATTTCTCCTTATAAAAACTGTAACTGTTAGTTAAACATGCACGCGGTATTGAATAAAGATAAAAGTTACGTCCGTATTCAAACAAAAGAACATTGTCGTCGTTCAAAATAAAATAATTCTTTCTTCTTCTAATAAAGAAAAAGTTAGATCTAATGTCATCGAAAGGATCAAGAGGAAAAAGCGAAGTTTGGAAATCAGAATCAAAGTCAGGAAGTTTCTCACCAGAGGGATTTACAATAAAATGTCTCTTCGCAATGAGAGGATGCCAACAACAACACCAAGAATGAAGACCAACAGGGAACAAAACAGCAAACACAATTAAAAACGAAGACGGTATATGATCGTCGTAAACGAATGTTTCATAATTACTCGCTACATCAAATATTTGAATCACTTTTCTTTCCTCAATAACACACAAATATTTTCCAGAATTAGAAAAACACAGTGAGGTCACATTATTAAATCTAATACTGCGTTGCTTCTCACCTTTCTCAACGTCCCATACTGTCAAAGTATCTTTGTAACTAGTGACCATTGTGTACTTATCCTTAGAAAAACATTTGTTGGTAAAGAACTTAGAAGTAGAATCATCACAATGGAACGGACTGGAGGAAATTTTACCATTAATATCTAGTATCTTATCAAGCTGAGAAGCAAAAATCAAATCTTTGAATGGATAAAAAACAACGCAAAATTCCACCTTTTTAAATAGCTCAAACTGACCAGCAATCTTTTTTATCCATAAACATCTGTTTGTTCTCAATGAAAAAAGTTGCACGATGAATCCTTCATAACCACAGACGACGTAATCATGATTTCGTGAAACATCAACAGAGATCAAGTCTTTACGTAAACGTAATAATCGAGCCTTTACAAAACCCGTATCTCTGTACTCTAGATATGGTGAATCTTCAAAACGTGTTTGAAGCATTGTGGTGGCTTGAGACGAAAGATCTTTGACTACGTTGGCAACGTACTGCAAAAATTTTACTTCATTGTCAGAGAAAGAAGAGTACGTCATTACAGAATAAACTTCATTAAATAACAATCGAATGTCCTCAGAAATAAGAAAGTACACATCATGTGCGTTGAATAATTTAAAATTTTTAAAAGTACGACGAGAGTCAACCAACACAGAAGCAACTAAAACTTCTAAGTCAACAAGATATTTACAAACATTTTCAACGATATAATCATTATCAGAAATATCAAGTAAATGAAGCAACCAATACTTGACTGAGTACCTCACTGACACATGTTTGATGACGTCATAGTTTACACCTTCAGCTTTGAGGTTATCCAAAGATTTTAAACAAAATTCTAAAACAAGTCGATGACCACAAGAAGTTTTTACTGAGTAATTATGTTCTCGATCATCCAACAACCAATCATATAAGGATTTGTGAAAAAACGAAACACATCCCTCTTCATTGGTAACAAACAGACAAGAGATAATTTTTCTAACCCTAAGTGATTCGCGACTCGAATTCAAACAAAGAACGTCATTGATCATTTTCCAAGGAAGAGGTTCTTTAGCAACAGCCAGAGCATTTAAAATTGACTGAAACATTTCGTTACTGATATCAAACGAATCTAATTCCTTACTTAATCGTGTTAAGCAAATTTCGTAATATTCATTGAGATCTTTTGGTATGGACGCATTCAACAAATCCTGACTTTTGACTTCACTGGTAAGAAGCGATGCAAGTAACATAAGTCCGTCAACTTTTTCTACCAAAATATTTCTAACATCAAGAAGGCTGTCAGTAGCGCCAATTCTTTGTTCCATCAAAAATTTAATATCCTCTAAATTGCGATCATCGCTACAATTAATGAACAGTGGATTTAATTTTTCGAACTTATTTAAAGCAACTTCGTTAGGTCTTGTTGTAACAACAAAACGAAAACAAGGCGGAAGTTTGTGTAAGTGATTAGCAAGCAAATAAGTAAGGTCATCCCTTTCTGGATAACCACATTCATCAAGAGCATCCAACACAACTAGAATTCGCTTAGGCAACCCCGAAATTGTAACACATAACTCAGTAAAAAGAAGGGAAAATAATCCTTCCACATTCATGTTATTCAAAGGCTCAGAGAGTTGACCTGAAAGTTTTTTCACAAGAAGTTGTTTGTAAGCAGGAAAATTACGACTAACTTGCATCGCTAAAGATTGAAGAAGTACGTTGGCTTTATTGTAACGACTGTTGTTGTGTTGAAAGAAATGAACTGCAGTCAAATATTGTGGATAACGTTTACATAAAGTAGCTGCAATTACAGATTTACCCATACCAGCAACAGCAGAAATAATAAATGCACGATTTTGAGAAGTGTCGTCTTCGAACCAAGCCAAAAACTCATCAAAAACCCATTCCCGAGTTCCCTCTAAAAATTTTTCATAATGATGTCTAATTTCACTTTCAAAGTTACAACTTACAAGTTTTTTTGTCAAAATATCTTCTACTGGACGTGAGTGAATTTGACGTTTTATTTCTTGCTGATTGCTTCTCATTTCTTCCTGATTCATTTTCATTTCTTCCTGTGTATTTTTAGTCACACACAAATGATTCTGTACATCAAATTTGAATTTGTGCCATTCTCTCACAATTCTTTCACATTCTTCATTACCAAAAAACTCATTTTTCAATCTATCTATTTCTCCCTGACTTATTCCTAAACGAACTAATGGTTCACTTATTTCCAGCCAATGATTTTCAAATTCATCAAAGCTTACTGAAGTGTCAGGTAAGTGAGCAAAACGATCATTACGAAACAACCTGATACGGGTAATATCTGCTTCAATTGAATGATCGTTGGGGTTATTTAATGACGTCCATATTGGATCATGAGGTGGTTTTAAACCACAAATATTACGCAGGAGTATACAAAGTAAAGTAATGTCAAACTTATTTTCATTTGGTAATATTGGAGGATCTGGATACAGTTGATCCCATTGATGTGGATAGATTTGTCTACTCTTTAGACTTGAAAGTAGTTTCGCATTTTCGGGATCATTTAAAACATTAAATAAATCAGTACCTGACAGTTGTTTCCTCAATGTTATTCTTAAAGCTTCTCCACCAACATCAACAATCAATCTCATCAACTTTAAACCATTAGTTTTCTTGTCTGAGCTCCAGAAAGACCCCATGTCGCTACCTTTGGTAAAAAGTAGGTAAGACTTCCATGGTAAAAATTTATTGTGGTTACAATGGAAAACTTGGGGCCGGTTGCACAAAGGCCAAATAGCGTTATCCATTGGATAGCAAAATGTTTTAAAGTCTTACAAAACCTCTTAAATGGGAATAATATGTGATTTGAACTGAGCAATCATTGAAATAAAATACTGCTTCCAAGATTACAGAATTTCTTTCAACTAAGGAAAATATAAACACAGTTTTCTACAAGATTGAAAATTTTACTATCCAACGGATAATGATATTCACGCTTGATGCAACTGCATCCAGATGTACAACGTACATAAAAACTATGGTTAAGACTTGAAAGGTAATATGTTAACAAAAACATTAGAATGATAACATTATTTAAAAATTTATTATTTTCACATAAAAAAACAGAAAAAATACATAGCAGAGCCAAATATTATTTCAGGTAATTACATGAATATCTAATTTTGCATGTGATTATCATAGTGGCAACCATTCTATGGCTTTTTTTGACCAATAGGTGCACAGAGCTGCCAAACTATACCCAGTAATATAATTATATATACAGCAGTAAGTTGCACAGAAAGTGGTCCTACTGTATATTCTCTGTACTGTGGTTGGGGTGACATAAATATTTGGATGTAAAGATCCCTAGACAACAATGGTTTTCAAAGGAACTTAACACATGTAGCCTATATTATGCATACATAATATGATCTCCAAATTAACAATCATCCTACAGTCCTGCCACAGTTTTTCTTGTTAAAAAAGGGAGTGTGTCAAGAAATCAACAAAAGTGATGAAAGCAATAAAAATGGTCAACGAAACATTGTAATAAGAAAACCAATGAAAAATTGGTGGACATAATTTTTTTAAGAGTTGATCCAAAATTGTGTAAAAGATGTAAGAATCTGTACGCCTATGACCAAAATCATTTTTCATTGGTTAGATTATTATTCTAAAAAAATTGGCAAACTACATGAAATAGCTAGCAACAAAAACATATCATATACATAAATTAATATGAAGCCCCACCCAACAATTATTGATCTTCCTGTACATGAATGAATCTAAGTAAGTAGATAAATCTTGTAACAAAAATATATTTAGCGACCACACATTGTCCACAATTATTGATCAGTTATAAAAGATGAAGAACACATATAAAATATTGACTTTAGTATGTCATTTCAGTAGCAAATGAACACATATCAACAAACAAGTTTTAGCATGTCAAAAGTTCAAAATATGTTGATGTACGTAACTAAGTGATGAAAACCCTCTAAAACGATCATTTTAAGATTAAACGATGACAAAAATAACTTTCGAACAAAGAGCAAATCATTTTAAACACAGTGATTTAATGTTCTGCTTCACTTATATTCATATATTTCGTATATATTTCCTATACAATGTTTGAAATCTAACTTGAATATCTTGTTTATGTTTGTTGTATTTTATGGTTTGACAATAACCATGTCTAAATGCTTAACAAAGCAAACTAGCTTTAAGGTCGAATCATACCTACATTCAGTGGCGTAGCTAGCGGTCTGGCTGGTCGGGCCCAGCCCGACCAAATATTTTCCCAAAAATGAAAAATTTGTTTTCTTTAAAATTGGATTTGCGAAATGTTTAAATTCTGCGACTCTTTTTGGAATAATCCACAGTCTATTAGTGTAATATTTGTTAAATTGCGTCGTTATTAGCAAAATTATCATATTTTTAAACGTTACTTAGCAACAATGACTAGTGCATTTCTAGTGCCAGGCATTACGCAGTTTAGTCGGGCTCTGAAAATTCAGCCCGACCAAATAGTAAAATCTATAGTGGGATTATCTGCAATCTGATTGGTTGACAGCAACTGAGCAAACTCAAATGCGCTGTTTCGTCACATCTAGTCGGGCTCTGAAAACTCAGCCCGACCAAATAGTAAAATCTATAGTGGGAATATCTGTAATCTGATTGGTTGAGAGTAGCTGTGAACACACTCAAACGTTTAACAACATCTCATTTTCAAAAGCGTGACTTGAATTTTGAGCTTTCGAAATATACGTTCGGAAATCGTGATAACTTACATTACAATGGCTTCGGCTAATGAAATCGATATAATAAGTGAACTACAAAAGAAACCCTTTTCTGTTCGACAATCAGGCGAGCAAAATATACTCGTAAAGCAGCGGCCAATTCCAAATTTACAAGCGACTGCAGGCATTTGAAGCTTTCAGGAAAGTTGGTACTCGAAGAAAGATTGGCTTTGTGGTAGCTCAGAAAAGAATGCATTGTTCTGTTGGCCTTGTCTTTTATTTTGCCCTGGATCGTCATCTTCATGGACGCAGATGGGATTCAAAAACATGAAGAATTTCCTATCCGATTGTAAGAAGCATGAGAAGGCAAAATCGCACATGGGCGCCTACAAGACCTGGAAGACTTACTACGGTTTTCAGCCTCGTATCGACTGTATCATGTCACAAACTAGACGTGAAGAGATTCAGCGTCATAACGAGGAGGTAAGGCAAAACAGGGAAATGTTGAAAACCATAACAGAAGCTGTTTTATACTTGTTTAGGCAAGAGCTTGCATTTAGGGGGCATGATGAATCTAGTAGCAGCATGAATAGAGGAAATTATAAAGAGCTACTTGAAAGTCTTGCCAAGATGGATTCTGTTTTTGAAAGGCGATTACATGGAAGGCTTGCTGAAGCCCACCTTGCTGGGGAAGGGCGGTTTACTGGAGTCTCTCCTGATATTCAGAATGATTTGATTGATTGTCTTGATAAGATAATAAAGGATGAGATTTTAAAGGAAATATATTGCTGCACTTTCTTAACTATACAGGTTGATGAGGCAACTGATGTTTCTACCAAAGAACTATTCAGTGTAATTGTTCGAATGGACAAAGGGGAAAGTGTCAATGAAAGACAGCTTGGGTTTGTTGATGTCAGTTGTGATAGGACTGCAACTGCTATATCATCAGTAGTTAAGGTAAGTTAAGTCAATACAATAATGTGAAAGAGAAATTTATTGGACAGACTTATGATGGTGCATCTGTTATGTCTGGTCATCTCAATGGTGTTCAAGCTCAAGTTCAGCAGGATTATCCTTATGCTCAATTTGTTCACTGTGCTGCCCATAGACTAAATCTAGTATTATGTCTTGTATTTAATGTTGTTTGTTTGTTTGTTTGTTTTATGTCAAGCTGCATCCTCCATTTCACCTGTTAAGATTTTCTTTGTTAATATTAGTGCTTTCTGCACCTTTACTAGCAATTCCCCCCAAAAGAAAAGCTTTACTATCATCCCATAGGCTTGAGTTTCCTATTCCTTGTGACACAAGATGATGTTATAGGGCTCATGTCATCAATGTCTTGCATTCTAACTATGAGAAACTGATAGACATATTTGAAAATCTTACTGATAATCCAATAAGTTGGGATGATGAAACGTTAAGTAAGGTTACTGGTTTACTTGGCTACCTTAATGGCTTCTTGTTTTGTTTCTTGGTACATGTTTTCCAGAGAATTCTTGAGCAGTCATCCATACTTTATTCTATCTTGCAAGACAAGGACACTGTTGAATAAGTGGGACCACCAGTAACCAGGTATGACCAACGGCATAATTACAAACAAATGTATTTTGAAATTCTTGACACAATTGTGACTATGCTTACTGAGTGATTTCAGGATATGGAGCGTTTTAGATTTTTGACCTTGTTTACCCTAGGGTGTTTAAGATGTGGAAAGGTGAAGTGCCCTCAGAAAAGATAAATCTTCTAAAGGAGGTTTATGGTGATATGTTTGACATACCAATGCTAGTTAGCCAACTTTGTTTTATTTACAGAGATAAAGACTTTCACTGTGATTCATGCGATGAATTATTGAAATATATTTTTCAGTTCCATTATCAATCTAGTATTCCAGAAATTGTAAAACTGTTAAAGATAAATGGGGTTTTGTCAATTACAAGTGCTTCAGTTGAGAGGTCATTTTCTTGTTTGAAGAGGGTAAAAAATTCTCTTTGCAGGATTTCCATTCACAAAGACATACTGTCAGAGAAAGAAGACGCCAACACATTGCATGATGAGGTAGTAAAGAAGTTCATTGAAAAACCACGAAGACTTGCTTTCTTATACAAAGAGGTATTCATATATGGCTGATAGCAAGCTGATGATGTCTTACGTCCATGGCATGTGAGAATTTTTCCGGGAACTTTTTAATGCAGTCAATAATGATTGTCATTTCAGCACGACAATTTCATCACAACTTTTGATAGTTGTTGATGACAAATCTGAGCCTTTTTCGGTTCTTTTGTCAAAGTTTCTTTACAAGATGTACATAGGTATCTATTTATGTATGTGGTGTTGAGAAAATAAATCACATATTTGCAACTATTTTTGAACTGTTTCTCTGCTTTACTATAAGATCCTTCGGCAATTTAAATTAACCAAAATGGTTCTATTTCCTGCATAAATATCACGCATTTGCTTTCTAAGATAGCCGTTTCCGACGTTCTAGGGAGTCTAGTTCTAGGGAGAAAATTCGGAAAACTTTCTCGCTCGCGCCTCGTGAGCCCGACCAAATGTTTTTTGCTAGCTACGCCACTGCCTACATTAGTCAAAGTCTTAAGTAAATTTTAAATGAAAAACTGTCTCTGTTCTACTTAGATAGATACGTAAATTAAAATTAATTCCAGTCGCCATCTAAGGATGCAAAATCTTTATCTTACCGTTTTATTAGATGGAAGGAATACTTCTTGATATCGTGATCATATATCGCCAGAAAAATATGACTCTGAAGATGACTACCGCTAAGGTTGTCGAAACGTCAGTCAACAACATCAAAAACAGTCCTTCTCAGGACTTTATTAACCTGGACGATCATCATTTACAAACATATAACGATACTCCCGGGTTCAAACCATTTACTTTAGAAAAATATCTCCAACTTACGTTGACGTGGATGATATTTGACAACATAAAGATTTTAAATATTTCTTACAGCAGGCTCAGCTTCTTATGTATTTGCAAGGTGTGTTACGCGCGTGATCTCGCGTGACCTCCACGTATGTATAGTCAAAGGTCTTATAATTTGGGCAACTCTCAATACAATTTGACCAACCGTTAACTCAAACACTTTCACCAAACCGTTCATTAAAATATCTCATATGTAAATTGTAAAACACAAAAAAATAGGACGCAATAAGAACGAATGACTTTACTACATTTTTGCAATGCATATGAAAACGAGAATGTTTTTAGGGTTTGTCATAGCAAATAATTTTCAATACCTGTGCTGGGCCTTTCAAAACCTATGCTAGGTTTTTCGATATCTATGTTACACGTTAGTGCTAATTAGCAGGCCTTCATGAATATTAGTGTAATTTTAAAATGAGAATCTGAAAATTTTTATTGTCAATTGTTTTTCAGTCTTGTCAATTCCTTGGAGAAGATGGCAAAATTCATTTTATCTTATGGAAATTATGAAAAAACCCATAAAAGAGAGATGACCACCTTTGAAAGCATAGCTATAAATAGTAATGTCACATCTATGTTGTGTCAGCTGTAGTCCGTGTATTCAATGTATTGATCAATTTTCAGTCATAAGCAAAACATTATAAATTTAAATTTTAATGTTTCATACGAAGGCAGATATTTGCGCAACTTTCAATTTCACTGTCCTATGTCAAAGATCAACTCACCAATTTGTAGAATATGAGTGTAGTTGGTCCAGAGTTGATAACATTCTAAACTCGAGCCTGAAAAAACTTCAGAATGTTAACATTGTGCAAGCACTAACGAAATACGTTAAAGTAAAATCGCAATTTTTTTGGATTAATAAACTTTCTATAACATTTGTTGTTTGTAGCAATTTCTTTATACTGTTGTAAGCTTTTACAGTTAACAGAAAGTTTGTGAGTGCGCATTTGGATTTTTCTTAGCACTAATAACAAATCTGTAAAAGATAGTGAAACATAAAATGTGCGTTGATGCTAGACACTCCCCAGATTCTTTACACTATTACTGACACCCCACAGGAAACTTTACACTCATTCGTCGACCTTTTCGCGCAATTAGCTGTTTGAAATTTGAGCGAAAATATAGAATGTCCCTAAACTTTATTAATTCCAGATGAAATGCTCTCGTGACTTCACATATATACACTACAATCTAGGCTTTTCCTTCAGTATTTTTTGTTTTACGATACTTTATCGGGCCACCGTAGTTCACATGCACCAATTACTTGGAAAAGTAAACGCCAATCAGTACGGTCTCTAGGTAGATGTTCTGGGACAGTGTTTGCGTAAAGAACGGCTTGAATTGTTTTAAATTCGTTACAACGCTTTATGACTCGTTTCACAATTTTTTTTAATTTTGGAACCCAGTAACTTTCACGTACCTTTGCCTATTGTTAAACTTGCTCCCCCATGAAGGATGACATAATGGGAATGATGAACAACTTTTTTTGTGAGCACATCACTTTTGGGCAAGTAAATTTGTTAATCTCCTTGGATTCGTCCATAACACTTGACGCCTCTCATGATCCTTACAAAATTTTCTTCAAGCCTCTTCTGATCTTTACAAAATTTTGCAGTGTACATGTCTAGATTTCGGGCTTGGACTACTTTTATCCACCATTTTCTCCAATTGTTGATTTCCTTTGTTGTCAATGGACACTCTTCCCTTGTCCTTGTTTTCTACTGTTCTGGATAAATCTTGAAATCCATCCACAAGGTTTTCCAGAGATCGTATTTGTTCAGCAATTCATCGAATTTGTCATGTAGAAAGGTTGCAGTTCTAACTATTTGTGTTACAGGTTTTGTTTCCGCCAGACTTTCGTCTGTTGCTGTGGTTGTGATGTCTTTCCATCATTCCGTGTCTAATGGAGAGTTACTGCGCTGTCCAGCAATGCAAAAACAATGCCAATTGGGAATCCGTCCAACTCTTCTTGACGTTTTAAATAAGATTTGTTGCCTTATGTGCAGATATAGATTTTAAGCGTGGTATTGTCAGATCCTTAGTAAGACGAGATTTGGTAGCCATCAGGCCCTTGCATGTACCACTCTCTTGATGGACAATGCCTATCACTATTGCCCAAACTCCATAATTGCTAGCATCAGCAGAGGTATGCAGCTCAATTTTTTGGATGATTTCCTGGAAACACACGAAACTTCGTGGAAGTTTGATAGATTGTGGAAAATAAGTTCCCCAGGATGACCATATATCTTTAATTTGTTGTGGTAATTCCTCGTCCCACGATAACTTGGCATTACGGCAGTCCAATGGTGGAGCATGGCCAACAACGTTAAGGAAGACATTAAACTCAGTGGGTCATAAATCTTCGCTGTCTTAGCTAACCCCTCACGCTTCGTGTTGTGAGACAAGTCCGTAGGTATCTGAACTTTGATGAAATCTTTTTTTTGTCCATGATAGCCCAGGAATTGTTTCTTCGTCTGTTTTCGCTCCCAATTGTTGCTTTGCATATGTAGTCTCATCCGTCGAAGATTCTTGCGGTTGTACCGATTCCAGTTCAGGTACGTTGGAGTGCTACTTGTGCAAGGTATACTGCTCGTCTGCGAAGATTAATTTCTTTATTTGTACGTACAATGGTTTCTCCCTCGCTGAATAAATCGTCAACGTATAGCTGTCTCTAATCTCTTTTAAAATGTTGGGGTTGTTCTGTTTGTAGTTGTCTAAGTGTTGTTTGATTACTCCTACCAAAAGGAACGGGAAAAGAGACACACCAAACAGAGCTTTTCTGAAACGCAGGGTTATCTTTTTTATATATATTTATACCAATAAATGCGCATCACATCCCGATTTTCGTCTCATATTCTTACCTGGAAGAATGCCTGCATTAAGTCTCCTGTTAACGCAACCGGGTGAAATCTTCCTCTCACCATCACCTTCCACAGTTGATTCTGCAGAGGTGGACCGGCTTGTAAACATTCATTCATAGATGGTGCTTTATAATTATCACGTGCAGATCCGTCATATACGATCCATAACTCTGTTGTCTCTGCTGACTGATTAAACACTGGTTTACAATGCAAGTAGAACTCTTTGCCTCGAGCCTCCATTTTTGCTACCTCTACTATTTCTTTTCTCCGCCCCTAACATTAAACGTACAAGGAGTTTTTCTTTGTCGTCATCATCATTCATGCTTATGCCACTTAGATTCGTGTACTCTGAAATTAAGCTTGCATACTTTGGATTGTCAAGTATTAAAAGTTCTCTTTTTGCTTCTCGTCTTACTTCTGCTTGAATTTTAAATTCCTCTTTTACGTCAGTAATTTTTAGCTGATGAATTACCACCAATTTTGTTGTTTTGCCATAGGTCATCTCAACAGATCGGATTTCCCTCTTATTAAGTTGTTGGTTAAGAATGTCGAGTAACATTTTGAGGAGGCGTAAGAGCTTCCCACACCCGTATCAATTAGAGCACGACATTTATACCCATTTACTTTACCAGCAACAACTTGATGAACTACTGCTTTGGACTCATTGCATTTAGTATTCAGTAATTGATCATTCGTTGAACCGATGGTAGGTTGGTTTTCACAGGAATTTTTGCAGATAGAATTATGCTGCCTTTGCTTGTAATAGTGCAGTTGGATTTGTTACATCACTCGAAAGCCCAATGTCCCTCCCCAGTGCAAGACAGCAATGAGCACTCATCTCACAACGTTACTAATTATTTAAGCTGCGATGCACGACATGTTCCATTGTTTTCTCACAGTATAGGGAATATACAGTAGGTCCTCTTTGCTGTGCAACTTGCTGCTGTTTATTTAGATTACTGGTTGTCATTTTCTAGCTCAGTGCAACTATTAGTCAAAAAAAGCAGTTGACTGGCTGCTACTATGATAATCACATGCGCAATGAGATTCGCGTGGCACAAAAAAATTGATTGGAGTTGCTCTAATGCATGTTCTATATACTGTGGTTTTATGCTACGACAGGATTAATTACGTTGGTTCTACAGATTATAATTTATACCTGTATATTTGTTCTTTTTGCAGGTAGCCATAAAAAACTTTTAGTTAAGGGCTGTTCACATGAGCCCGAGTAACCGGGATTTAGCGAGGCGTGAAATAATTTTTAGGAAGTGAAAGGAGTAAAAAGTTTAAGTACAAAACTTACAATCTTTCTTAAGCATCGTAAGTCATTTCAGTTTCAATTTTCAAATAAGACTAAATTATTTCTTTTGATTTTTAAAGGTTTTGTAAATTTGCAAAGTCAGAGAATAGAGAAATTGCTCAAATAAGGTTTTTATTGTGAAGTACTTAATCTTTTTCATTTGCCAAAATGATTTAACGCTTCCCTGTATCCCGGTTACCTGGCTCATGTGAACAGTCCCTTAATCCTGCTGCGTCTAAAGTCGCATTGGGAACAAGCTACGCTGATTTATTCTTATTCATTCAAATTCTGTTACTCAAGTGTTTGCATTTACTTCAGACAGATAGTGCGCTACCAAAGATTCAAATATCTGAACTTTACATACAGTAAAACCATTTAAAACAAAAGATGACGAGGAGTTTTATCTCAAATTCTTTTATTTTCAATGCATTCGGTTGATGTAAATTTCTGCGTTTGAAACTGACCTAACAACCCACTCCTTCATGAGGAAAGCTTGATCAAGTGGAGAGAGGGGGGGAGCACAATAGCACAAGAGTATACACTATTTAAAAGGACGTTGAATTTTACTCAATTCATTGCTTGATAATAGACGAAGTAATGGTATGCCCCCCCCGACTCTCCTGCTCCGCGTTATCTTAGTTACAGACCAATAAATCGCTTGTTCACAGCTTAAAATACATAATTTGTGAAAACGTTTCACTTTCTACTGCTTTAGTACGGACTACGGAGTTGTTCGGAATTTGAATCTGAATTTGCAAAACTAATGCAGGAATAATAGAATTGCAAAGACTTTGACAACTCACACTTGACTTACATTTGGAATTTTGAAATTTTGCCATAATTTATCAAAAAGTCATGAAACTTTTCAAGAACTCTTAATAAAAATAATTTTGATTCTACAATTTATTCGTTACTAACATAGTTTCTAGACCGTTTGGTTTTGACTACTTCGTAAAAAGTGGCCACCATTTTTTATTATAAAACTTGGTAAGTCAAGAGAAAGTATGTTGTGTTACGTACTTTCACCTGGGTCTAAAGAAGTAAACTTTCCTCAAGAGTCAAGACCATGTTGTGTTACGTACTTTCACCTTGGTCTAAAGAAGTAAACTTTCCTCAAGAGTCAAGACCATGTTGTGTTACGTACTTTCACCTGGATCTAAAGAAATAAACTTTCCTCAAGAGTCAAGACCATGTTGTGTTACGTACTTTCACCTGGGTCTAAAGAAATAAACTTTCCTCAAGAGTCAAGACCATGTTGTGTTACGTACTTTCACCTGGGTCTAAAGAAATAAACTTTCCTCAAGAGTCAAGACCATGTTGTGTTACGTACTTTCACCTGGGTCTAAAGAAGTAAACTTTCCTCAAGAGTCAAGACCATGTTGTGTTACGTACTTTCACCTGGGTCTAAAGAAATAAACTTTCCTCAAGAGTCAAGACCATGTTGTGTTACGTACTTTCACCTGGATCTAAAGAAATAAACTTTTCCTCAAGAATCAAGACCACAAGACACGATTTTACAAGATTTAAAAAAAACTTTCGCGCTTTAGCGTGCTGTCAGCTGAGAATTATGAGATATCAAAGCCTGTTTCATACGTCGCATTTTACATACGCCGAATGCATTAGAGAAAAAAGAACATGAGATAAAATTCCTCATTATCTTTTAAATGTATTTGGCTCATGTAAAATGTGACGTATAAAGCAGGCCCAAACCTCGCCTACAGTTTTAATTTTAAGCTTCGAATTTACGGCAATAGTTCACTCACCAATTTAGCAAATTACTTTCGAACGACTTAAAATTATAGCATTCAAATCAAAATTCAAAAATATTGTTGTTGGCTTCCAAAGTCGAAACACAGGCGCATGCTGTAACAATGACGACGTACGTAAAAAATTATTTTATATTATACAAATACTTTGGTGAAATGCGTCGTCAGATCTTAATGTAACTCACGACAATGACATAAGGCTACTTAGAATGTCAGAAGAAAATAATAGAACAGCAAGTTCTTCGTATTAGAAAAAAAGATAAAGCCCCTAAGGCCGACGCTATATTGACATATTTATACCACACATTAATCACCCACGCATGTCAATGATGATGTCACGTGTTATTTTACTTTAACATCCCGTCAGGCCCTTACGAAGGTTTACAATGCTCTACGAAGTTGTGATACATGATATTTTCCTTTTCCAAAGGGAATTCTTAGTTCAAGAAATATATGCTCTAGATGATTAGATGAGCAAATGAGCAGAGGAGGCAAAATCATGAGAAAACTTTGAAAATTCAGATCTCTAGACGGCTGAAAATGGCCATTTTATTAATAACTTTAAAGTCATTATGTTACTTGCTGTATGAAATAGCAACATCTTAGAAAATTTTTTTTCAAAAACACTTTTTCCATGAATTAAAAGCCCAAATGACCAAGGTGTTGATTACATAAGAAAGTTATCAAGGCTAGGAGAAGCAGAATGTGATTAATATATACGATGAATCCCCGATCTACTGTGCTTAGAAACAAAACGAGGGACAAAAAATTTCGTTGAATATAACCAATTTAAACATTGCCGATTGACCAAAAGTTAAGCATACTTACGAATAAAGTTAATGTACAGTTACTATGCTTGATTATTCCCAATGGTTATTGAATTTGTTACTTTTTGAATACTTAATGAACTTCTCGGCTAACCTTGACAATTCCAATAACTTATTGACAACAAAAAACTTATTTGGTTATAACAGATAGGGTGCCTCTCCTTATTTGACTAGAAATTATTGAATACAAAAAATATCAAGTTCTTTTTCCCCATAATATCTCTAACCTGTATGTACTTTCTTATTAATGACATTGGCATTATACTGGACGTGACGATATTTGAACCTTAATTAACTTACTTGAGTAAGTCTACATTTTACTATGGACTAATGATAAAAATTTTCTATTTATGTCCTAATTTACTCTGTCTATTCCATAACAGGAGCGTAGCAAACTCGTTGATGAGGAAGGGGGGAGGGTTCAAATTTATGAATGCATGTATTAATCTATAGAAAAGAATGGATTTCAAAAAGAATTTAATCCTGCAGAACATGCATGTATGAATAAGTTCTCCCTCAATTATTGAGTTTGCTAAACAATTGCATATGGATGTAATATTTATGATCATTGTAACAATTTCAATGGTTGTAAAAAGACAAATTGTTTTTTGACATGCCATAACAAATTACAGTCATCAAAGTTCTGGAGGAACCGACATAGAATCAACATGACAGTCCATATTCTGCCTGCTGACCTCAAAGAGACTGCTGACCTCAAGGTCCATTAATTCAAGTCCATTTGTTTCCTGGAGTAAATTGGCATCATCAATAGGATTTGTTTCCTGGAGTAAATTGGCATCATCAATATGATTTGTTTCATGGAGTAAATTGGCATCATCAATATGATTTGTTTCCTGGAGTAAATTGGCATCATCAATATGATTTGTTTCATGGAGTAAATTGGCATCATCAATATGATTTGTTTCATGGAGTAAATTGGCACCATAAATATGATTTGTTTCCTGGAGTAAATTGGCACCATAAATATGATTTGTTTCCTGGAGTGAATTGGTATCATCAACTTGATTTGATTCCTCTGTCAGAAATTATAGAAATTATTAAAAAGGTTTTTTACTTGTTTGAAAATGTAGTCGAGAACGATATGAAGTGAGAGAAAGCCAATCTATTGGCTCGTGAAAGTCATAGTGGAATATATCGTAAACAAGCTTAAAGAAAAATGACAGAATCAAAAGCACAACCAGATTTGTCAAATGGATCACTTTAGGGCAGGCCATGTGAACTGTGAGTAGGGCTGTCCCCAGAAAGTTAATGGAGGGGGGGGGGCTCTTATTCACATATTTAGTTGTGCACAACTAATTTCTTTTGAAAGCAATTTATTGAAAGTGCCAAGGCAACAAAAGTTTTGCAAGTTAAATTATGTTTGCAATGACTAGAACCTTTGAAATTACAGTGTACTTTCTAAAACAGTAAATGCATATTTTCGTGATTTTGACGTTTTTGTTATTTCCAACTTATTTAACTTGTGACGTCATATTGCATAACGAGTTCCCACAATGTTTCAAATACTCTTCAGTTTCCTGACAACTTCAACTTGATACCAGTAGGCAGCATTTTATACCATTAACTCCGTCACAATGAAACGGAATCTGTCGCTGTGAAGTAAAGTATCAGTAAATATACCTAATAATTTTACTTCTCATTATGCAATGTGACGTCACAAGTTAGATATATCGGACATAGCAAGAACCTCAATATCCCAAGAATTTTAAAATATCTCTTCAATAAAGTATTACTCAGATAGCAAATTTTCGTTTCATAGGCACTTTAAGAAATGAAACAACTCGCTTTCAAAAAAATCAGTCATGCACAGCTGAATAAATGAAGAACACACCTTCCCCCACCAATCAACGATTACCAGGTGGCCGTGACTGTGAGATGCATGTGTGGGGGTATCAAAAACATAGTCAGTGACGAAAAACTTTGCTAAATTGATCAGCGCGCAATACTTGCAAAAATTTTAAGTGGAAATAGGCAGTTGGACTTCCAATGGTTCAGCTGATAGTTAAGTAAAATTGTTTCAAATAATAACCATTTTAGACGGAGGAATGTGTTACAGAGAAGTGATTTTGAAGTAGTTCACGCACAAAAATGACAAAGCTAAAAGCAATTGAAACACATAGGATTAAAATAGGTCACATTTTGTTCAAGCAAATGAAGTTTTAAGGAATTTGGCAAAAGCGTACACAAACAATTAGCTTCCAAATCAAAGATCATTTTGTTTTCGTTTTTGAATACCTTTTTATAGCTCTCTTCAATTATGTATAAATTTTAGTTTCCAAAAAATCTGAATCATTATAAACATAAAAATTGATGATGATTTATGTAAAATGTCATATAAAGGGAAAAACACAAATTAATCTACGATTCGGAAAATGAACGTTCGCGTAAGAATCGTCCAAATTTACTGAAACTTTATTAGTTCGAACAACATATGCCATATTTTAACCTTATGCGTTTCAATTGCAATCTATTGGTGTCATTTTTGGTGCAAGCTATTTTAAAATAGTTTCTCGGTTACAAATTTTTTACTCTAACAAAGATTATGATTTACGAAAATTTAACTGTAATAACGTAAATGGTTTGTACCCAGGCGTATCGTTACATGTTTTAGATGTAGATCGTCATGGTTAGTAGAGTCCTGAAAAAGTCAACTTGACTTTAAAGGTGACGACTGCTAAGGAAGTCAAAACGTCAGTCAACAACAACAAAAACAGTCTTTCTCATGACTCTACTAACCTGGACGATCTACATCTACAAACATGTGACAATTTGACATTAGATAAATCATTGGAAGTCAAACTAGTTATTTCCAACAAAGGTTTTTGCGAACCTTGTACGCTGATCGATTTAGCAACGTTCTCTCAACTGTGTTGTTTTTTCAATTTTCCCCAATCCTTTGGGGTAACCATTGCCTCCGTAGGATTTTTAGCACTTCAACAGGACAGCATATTGATATTTACTGTCTCGATTCAGAGACAAATCGTTCGTTCGTGAGGCCGTACTGCCACTGTAGGATCCCAATGGAATATGAATTTCAACAATCGGTTGTAACTAAAAAATACGTCAAACATGTCAAATACATTGTTAATATGAGTGGACAACAATTAATAAGAATTTATAAAATTTCAATGTTGCCAGTGAGGTGAAAGGTGTGAATCGAATTCTAAATATAAAGATAAGATCCCAAAAGATGGTGTTTGAGAAGTATTTATTTAAAAAGGCAAGAATTTATTTAAAAAAGCAAGCGACGTTTCGTCTTGACTCAAGACATCTAAGACTAATTACATAGACTTACTACGATGCAGTAAAGTTTCTGTTTGTTACTTTTACTTTGCTGTGTGCCCTTTTACAGGAAGCAACTATCTATAACTCCCTTCTTTTTTTCTCTTCACATCTTAAAAACTTTTAAATTGGTCTTTGGAATAGTTGGGTTGGGTAGGGAGAATGCATGCCACCTCAGCTCTTTTGATGGTAAATTTCCCTCCACTACTCATCCATCCTTATATCTTGTACAATCTTTCTCACATTTCCTTACAATACTCAATATCAGCATTACACTGTAAGTACACATCCACACAAACCTTACACCTTAACTATCAAAGTAATTACATCTCATTTGAAGATGTCTTGAGTCGAGACGAAACGACAAACGTCACTTGCTTTGTTTTAATAAATATCAAAGAAATCGAACGCTTATGGTTATCTTCAAAACGATCTGTTGGACTCTAACCTTTAGGGTGATAATTTAATAAAAATTCTTTAATATTTCAAACATGTTACCTTGTTCAGTACATAAAACACTGTCTAATTCTTGTTGATCAACGTTATCAACGTCGTCGTCGGCGGACATGATTAACTGTATAAAGAAAAAAACGTCAAACTAGATGAATTGGTCAATTTTGACTTCAAAATATCATTTAATTTTAATAAACATCGACTACAAATCATCTAGAGTTGCAACTACGTACCAAGTACCGTGCTTATAGCCAAGCATTAAAGTCAATAACGAGCATAATTTATGTTCAACGAGAATGATCATGACGAAGTAAGGGATTGCAAACTATACAATATCACATGTGCAAATGCGTCATTATGTCGTAACAAAACCCCATCATTCTTTGCGGACGCAGACGTGGTGCATAATAAAAGTGAAAGCCGTTAAGGAGAGTAGCATTTTGTCATTTCTCAAATAAATATGTTGACTGATGACTCTAAGCAATAAAATAAAATGCGGTCTACTGCTTTCGATACCTTAAGAATAAAATTGAATTTCAACAGATAAATTTTCACAAACTCTTTTGATTTTTGAAATAGAATTTGCCAATTTGCCAACAACCATCATGCATGGCGCGCGTTTGTTCATTTCACATCAAAACAACTGTAGAATCACATATATCAACTATTGTTACTTAAAAAACGAATATCAAAAATTCATCAAACATTGCAGTGATTAGTTCAACGAAACATGTAACAATAAATTCAAATTTGGGAAGTGTTATGTCCCAACATTTTTAGGAGCGAATGTTTATTAAATGATTTTTATCTTCTGTCGAAGACTCGAAGATATTTCGATCTTGTAGAAGCTGCTTTTAGTTAACCTCTTAATCACAAGCAGTAACTAACGGTGATTTACATTGACTAGTCTTTGGGATCGCATGAAATTTTGCATTGCTTACAATCATTCATACAATTTATGAAACTTTTAGCAACATATAGATTGCGAATGTTCACGGAAATAATCTTTACAATCTGTGACAAACTGGAATTTGAATTTAGGAGTTCGTTCCCATGTACTTTACTTATGTCACTGAAATTCGAACAACAAATACTTAATACATGATATTTACCTTTTGATGAAAATGCTTTGCACAATTTTGCCGAAATTTTTGTAAGTCGTCTTTTCCAATGAATACGATGACTAGTATTGATCTCAGGAGGAATGTCATATGATCTCTGTGTGACTAGAAATACTATATGATTAAATATCATGTGTATAAACTCACGCTAATTAACCTAATTTCTTTCAATAATTGACGAGAATTAGTCAATTTGATAAAAGAATTTTTGGTTTCACAAGAATTATTCCACAATATACAGCATAAGACTTAGGTAGAGAAATATTTTATTTCACAGTAAATGCTACACGCAAGAAAACAATGGAAATTAAAAGTGCTAATTTAATAGTCAATTGGTAAAGAAGTGACGACAATAAAAGTGTAGATTTTAGGGGAGGTCAGGTAGTGCAGCCACCAAAAATATTAAAGAAAGTTGAAACATTGCCCAGAAAACTCAGTTCAACTGTACTACTGATTTGTTTCGCTAAAAATTGAGGGAGTTAAAATGTTTCCGACAGGGGTGTGCAATTTATTTTTGAGAGATAAATCTAAAGTTTGCGTGCCCCCCATGTACCCCTCCTCATTAAATCTGTCCATGTTTTATAGTGATTATCTTAAGCTGAAAGTTTTTTTAAAATACTTTTGTTTTCTTGGATTACAGTAAATCACTCTACAAATATGAAATAAAAAACAATTTTTCATTGAAAGAAAACTTACATCGTCGATAGGGAAACAATTCTTATACTAATTCTCCCTGTACTTCATTATGATGCTCTTCCTGGTCCACCAGACAAATCTAACAGTCAAATTGAGAATCTTATTCCGCAAATAAATCCTAGTGAGGTTAACGATTATCTTCTAAGTATACCTACACACAAAGCCACGGGAATCAATGGGCTTGGTCCCAGAGTTCTAAGGATTGCAGCTCCTGAAATATCATGCTCCATAGCTAAAATTATAAATCACTGTATTGAAACTTCTACATTTCCCTCACAATGGAAAATGGCAAAGGTTGAACCTCTATTCAAGAATCAAGTAAACAAGTAAGATATTCAAAACTATCGTCCTATTAGTATTTTGCTTATTCTTTCTAAAGTCTTTGAAAGACACATCTTTAATGCAATGAACACTTACTTAACAGAAAATGCCCTTTTATACCGCTTCCAATCAGGGTTCCGTAAAAACCACTCCATGGATACTGCTTTGTTGTTTCTTCTGGACCAAGTCCTTCTTGACCTTGATAAAAACAATGTCAGCGGCTTGGTTTTTGTGGACTATAGCAAGGCATTCGACTTGATCAATCATGACATTCTCCTAGTAAAGTTAAGATCATATGGATTCCCAGATAATGTTGTAAAGCTATTGCAGAGCTATCTACTCAATTGCAAACAGTGTGTTACTGTAAATAACTCGACTTCGTCACAACTTATGCTAACGAATGGAGTTCCTCAAGGTAGCATATTAGGACCTCTACTGTTTTTAATTTTCGTCAATGATCTTCCCGAAGCTGTTGGATCGGACTCAACTATTCATGTTTACGCGGATGACACCACATTTAAAGCCGGCGCTAAGATCGATAATCCACCTTTGAAATTGGAACGACGTCTTCAAGAATACATGGATAAATTAAGTAAATGGTCTAGCGAAAATGGGATGGTCCTAAACGCCATTAAAACCAAAGCATTCCTTATCACCGGAAAGAGGCTACATTCATCATTAGTTGATGGAAATCATCTGTCAGTGACCCTTGATGGGGCCGAAATACAACAAGTTACCTCTTATAAATTGCTTGGTGTAACACTCGATCAAGATCTTACATTTAGTGACCACATTTATTGGTTTATTGAAAAAGATAAAGAGATACCTTCCAATAAAAGAAGGACTCTTATACTATAACGCCTTGATTAAACCCGTCCTTATGTATGGGAGCATGGTTTGGAATACTTGCGACGTTAAAGCACTCCACTGTCTCTTAAGGTTACAGAAAAGGGCTGCCCAAGTAATTCTTGGAGTGGAACCTTAATCTAGAAGTGTTGTAAACTTTAGTAAACTAGGCTGGTTGCCTTTTTTTGATGAAATCAAACTAAATAAGTGTACAATGATTTTTAAGAGCCTTAAATGCGATGTTCCGATCTACATCAGAGACTTGCTCAAGACGAGCAGTTCTGTACACAATAGGTCTACCAGACATGGCAATTTAAATTTAGTGTGTCCCAAATACTTGAGAAATAACGATGGTGGCAAGGCATTCAGTGTTGACGTAGTTAAGTTATGAAACAGCCTTCCTCATGATATCAAAAAAAGCCTAGTAAAAAACTATTCAAAACAGCTGTGAAAAAGCATTTTATAAGCTCATATAAAAACCTGGAAAACTTTGAAACAATATTAAGTAATAGCACATTATCTAATTTTAACTTTTTATAAATTAATTTTATCTTTCTGAATATTTTTAATATATCCTGCTATTTCTATCATAGAATTTTGTAATTATTTATATATTTACTCATTTATCAGTTTTTTGCAATGCTGTATAATCTAGTTAGAGGGCCACAGGTTAGTCAGCTTTTCAGTTGTTACGTGTCCCCCTCTTCAAATAAAGTCCTTACTAAGTTAAAATGGTAATAATAGTAAATATCGATATATGAATAATTATTTTACTTTTATTCCAATTCGTAATAGTTAAATTTTAACCTTGCCAACAAATAGCGACACTCTTTCTTAAGCAACATTTTTCAAAGATGAAAGTTCAACATACACCATGTCTTGAAGAAATTTATATTGCATACGAATGAACGTAAGTTATGATCTAAACATGTTTTTGCTCAATAACCACATACCCAGAACTACATACGTTGTCTGTGAATTTTAGATAGGTGTGCTAAATATACAATGAAAAATATTAGCTACATGAAAACTTTGCAAAGAACGTGAAATAGCACGATAATTAATATCTCACTGTTGGTCATATATAAGTAGCTAACGGTTTAAACTTGTACATAGCTACATAGTATCTCTTGTAATTGTTGGCAGTATTGAGCACATGCTCTGTTCTACAGAGAAAAAATCACAGTCTGCTTACAAGACATCTATTATCGGGCTATGCTGATTTTTTAGATTTCTTTTCTTTAGAGAATGTCAAACGTTCGCCACTCGTCAGTTTGTACATTATAAATTTCTTACAAATTTGTTATTTTTACATACCATCTTCAGAATATTCACTGTCTTTGCCATAAGATTCAGCAGTCTTTAGTTCATTTGTTTCATTTTAAAATTCTTGAGTAAAGAAATTTCATCTTAAAGAGTTTCCAGCAAGAGAAACATGTGCTAAAGCACAATATTTATACATGTGAAAGACAATAAAAATGTAATTTCTCAAGACAGTGATAATGTGACAAATATTGTATTCATTTGATTTACTAGTTAGAGCAATAATTAACAATTGGGAATAATAATGTGTAGTTTTGACAAACCATAGAGGAAGATGTGGCACTGGAATTTTTTGGCCAGCCTTTCTTAAGTGAATTATCTTAAATGAAATTTTTTTATTACTTTGTGGGTGCTTGGTTTATTGTAATATAGTTGTTTTATGTCAGGGACTTAGGAACTGAAACACTTTTCCCTACAACTGGACAATCTTGATGAATAACAATTTAAATATGAATGAATTATGTAAGAAAGCAACTTGTTTGAAAACATCTGTTTGGAGCATACATTTTTTCATACAGTGGTTATTTTTGGTAATTGTGTGGTAATGTCCCAAAAATTCAAAATATAAATACTATTTAAGTGACCTTTATTGAACAGTCCACCTATATTAAGTAGACATGGTCACCTTTTCCAAGATTGAAATTTGATTTTTCATTGTTCAAAACTGTATTAAATGGTCGGGTGAATTAAAAACCCAACACATACAACAATTAGGAATTTAAAATAAACAACAACTTTTTTATTACAAACATCAACTTACATTAAGTCAACTTCAGTAGACTGGAAAGTCGAAACATGTTTATAATAAAAAATTTTATTGTTTATTTCAAATTCATAATTAATCTGCTGCTTTTGAGATCATACATACATACATATAACAATTTATAAAACCAGCACATACAGTGTTTTGTGAAGAAGCAAAAAATGCCATGTTCCTACAGATATTTCAGAATGTAAGATTAGTAAGAGATGTTGTGTGACTGGTAACTTTATAATAAGTCTCAAAGTATTTCAAAGTTTTGAAAAATATAATTGTATTGGGCATTAATTTGATTAAATCCAAACTGAGGTCGTTGCTTTTGTTTAAATATTTTGCTAACATTATATTCAAAGATGTGTTGTCTCATTTAACACATAAACATATGCAGCGTTGATAAATTAAAATTTAAAATAAAATGAATAAAAAAAAGAAATGTGTTGCCTTTTTACGGTGGCCCACAACTGTCACGGCAAAACAGTAAACTTACGGCAAAATAAAGAAAACTCACGGCAAAATAAAGAAAACTCGCGGCAAAATAAAGAAAACTCGCAAAAAATAAAGAAAACTCGCGGCAAAATAAAGAAAACTCGCGGCAAAATAAAGAAAACTCACGGCAAAATAAAGAGATGAAATGGTCAGCGGTCACTGTATGTAAAATAGATGTAAAACTGCTACTTCCGCGCTATTTTCTCCGCACTGTTTATCCATGTGTTTATCTTATGATTTATCGCTATGTTTTGTTCAAATTGTGGACGATCATGTGGGGATTCGGATAGATTCTGTACAAATTGTGGTACAAGTGAGTTTTCCAAATTTCTATATGTTTTATATGAAGATAAACAGTAATAACCTGTTTGATATTTAATATTGCTCTGAAAAAATTTAACAAGGGCTCTTTGAAATATGTATATATTTTCAGCTAGTCTTTAGCAAGAGGGACGAGCCCCCCAGCAATACACCCCTGGATAATGCATTCAGTGCACCAAGTATAAATTACATATTACAAATACATATCATATAAATTTACAATAACAATAAAAAGTACACATTGTTAAAATTATGAGTTCTCAGCTAATTTAAAATATGCCTAAAATTTGTGCTGAAAAACAACAAAGAAGCAAAACAAGAAAAAACTAACTGCAAACTGCATTACTCATCACAAACTGATGGATATAATTTGACATTATGATAAAATGATCCTTTAGACTTTTCTATCCTAGTTGCCTGTATTAAAGGAGAATAAATTTAGCTTGCACGTGCGAAAATGTTTCTTTTTAACTCAGCAACCTAAATAAAGTAATCAAAACAAGGTATGACAATTTATTCCTCGATATACTTGTGTTGCAATCTACCTGAAAAGCAACATATCTTAATTAGTAAAAGTTTGTTCTTTGAAAATTAGTAATCAATAATTTAGTTGTAAGGGTATTCTGAATTTAAAATTGAACTGCTATAATTTATTGTGATAACTTATTTATTCTTTCTTTAAAGCCTTGTTGCTTTCCAACCCTGATGAAGGATCAACATCGACTTGCAATTCTAATCAGATCAACTTGCCCACAATAAAAAAACCAGTTAAGTCTTTTGAAGACTACAGAAAAGAGAAGGGTGGTCAGTGGAAATCACGAGTATCCAAGTCTGGTGCCACAGTCAGTAAAAAGGAAAGCAAGGAAGATTATGTTGTTATTAATATATCCTTAATGGAATACAGTGAAAAGGATAAATCGTTGAAGCCAAAAAGGGGTAAAAGACTTCCTTTGCGTGTATTGCCCTCGATAAACTATGTCAACCTTCTTAAACAAACTTTGGAAAAGTGGAAGAATTTTAATAGCAATATGTATGATGAAAACCAAGAGTACTACTTACTGTTTGAGGATGGTAGAATGGCAGTATGGATACCTGGTACTGATAAAGAGCCATTTTCTCTTAAACGATACAAAGATGAGATTGGCAAGGATTTCAAGAGAATAACTATGTTTCTATGTTCTGAACACGAGTTCTTGTTGGCAGAAGGACTTTTGGACAGTGACAACAGTGGTGATGAGAGTTTGGTAAAAAAGAAAAAGTATTTTAAAGGTGATTTTGAACTCAGTGACAGCAATTGCTCAGATGAAAGTTGCACTTTAGCGACTACTTTGCCTTGCTCTTCTTCAGATCCAGTCCTTGTTGACCTCACTTGTAGCAAAAACAACCCATCCAAACAAATTAAAATGCCAATTGAACAGGAACCACAAACTGAAGATGATGCACAATTTGAAAAACAACTTCATAAAGTTTTTGAGCTAGAACAAAATCAGTTGAACTTGAATGAACCGGTACACGATTTGGAACTCGCCGATTCTAAATCAGTTGTTAATTCTATTTCCACCAATGAGGATAAAGTTGGTGAGTTCTTTATAGTAATAAGACGAGGCATTCCTGTCGGAAGAATTCTTTCAATCTGGAAGAGAGAAGTGAGAAAAAACCCATCATCATTGACTAAAGCTGTTAGAGTTCATATCCTTGGCGAAGAGGGCATAGACTCTGGTGCTATTGCACTTGAGTTCTTTACAGAAACATTAAGAAAGATTGACAGCTCACTTTTTCCCTTGGGAGCACCTATCAACTCAACATTGCATGTAGAAAATGGCGATTTTCAGGCATGGCCAGATTGTGGCTGCAAGTCTAGCTCAAGGAGGACCAGCTCTGAAATGTTTGGACGACAGTGTCTTTAATCTAATGGCGGAAGCTCAGAATTTGCGTCCTCGGCAATTTGATACTTACAATCATTTAACACCGTCTGACAAGGAACTATTAAATCAAGTGCGAAGTAATGTTACTGCTTTCTCATCCACAATTATTGATCATGAATATACTGGGAAAATTGATAATGACCATGTTGAACAAATTATCAATTCCATGGTCATTAGCATTGTCTCAAGACGACTTGTTTTGGTAAGGGAATTTATGGAAGGGCTCAAGTTGTTTGGGCTGTCTGAAGCCATATGGAAGTATCCTGAAGCTTGCCGAGATCTTTTTGTAAGGGGATCCAATGAAGTAAATGCCAATTTTTTATTATCAATCATAAATCCTGAATATTCAGAAGATGGCAGCTCAATGAAGCAAGTAGAAGAGGCTATTATGGATCACTTGCAGGACTTCCTGTTTAAGATTGAAGATGATAAAACCTTATTAGGATTCCCTGAAGCAATTTCGTTCAACCACAGTGAAGATGAGGATGACGTCTCAAAGCAATTCAAAGGTGATGATATTTTTCAAGCACATGATCTCTCCCCTGCCGGAATTATGGGGTGGTTGACTGGACAGAAACATAAGCCACTAAATGGTGAACTTATTTCTATAATAGTTAAATTTGATCATGATTGCACAAAAAGGAATCCGCAGCACAAAATATGCTTCCCCCAAGTGGGTGCATGTGCTAAGGTTCTTACATTACCTGTGCTGCACATGAAAACTGCAAAGGAGTTTGAAGAAGTATTTCTAATGGCATTTTCCAAAGCCAGTCTTTTGGTAAGGCATAGATACCGTCATTTATAAGAATGAATGTACCTTGTATTTTTATCAATCTTTTGTTATTAGTGATTATGTTTATGTTTCACTTTGACTCAGCTGTTGCTTTTAGAAATTGTTTTGATTTATGAACAGTCTTTTGCTTACAGTCATAGAAATTAGATCTTATACTAAAGAGGCATACTTATTATAGAATCTATTAATTCATAGTTCTGTTAGTTCATATTTTTGGTGTATTTTGACAAGATTAAACATTTATCATAGATAAATGTATAGTTTTTGTTTGCATTTAATGCCAGTTTACAGTTCATCTTTGTTGTAATATATATATATATATATATATATATATATATATATATATATAGTATAATATCAAATAAAATGTATACAAACTAACGAAGTACTCAATATCAATTTAGATAGAGCAATATATATTTGAATAATATTTTGTTGATTCACTACACATTGTTCCATGTCCATATAGTGAATCATAACAAATTATTGTGCAAATATAATTTCATATAAAGTCATATATATAAGAAGTTTTGTTTATTTGATTTCCCGTAATTACAGTTCTCGATGCGTTAGAGCAGAGCGTAAATATCGATAAGAAGAAAATTCACAAAACTAAAATTTCATCCTGACAAGCCTGTTTTGTGATTTCTCACTCTTCAGAAATCACAAAACAGGCTTGTCAGAAATTTTAGTTTTGTGAATTTTCTTCTTCACAGAGTCAAAAGCTCAAAAAAATAATTTTATAAAAATCCAGAGAAACTTTCATTTTTAAACAATACAATGCCTGGATTACCATTTTTCAAGCTTAAACTGTACATCCTGTGTCCCAAGTACCCATAGAACCATAGTGCCCCATAGAGCCATACATCCTGTGTCCCAAGTGCAAGAGTCACCATTTTACTATGGTGATACCTGGTATGGTGATACAGTTACACATTGTATGGATTGTTTTGTAGAGTCATCAGAGCACTCAAACCTATAAAGGTGAGCTTTGCATAAAGCGA